ATAATAAAGATCGCTAGCATTAGCATGCTAACACAACAATGCAGCGTGAGTTGTTTTGGTTTCATGCTGGTGCTCAAGGGCGACATCTGCTGGATAAAAAAATCGCATATAAATCCTTTAAAGAAAAAATGCGTCCCTTAAACTTGATAATTTTAACAGATTTAATCCACAACAACACCAGAATAAAACTACGGGGGATTAAGTTGATTTTCTGTCACCTCAACGCGTTCCTCAATCAATCTGATTTTCACATCCTTCCTCTTCATCTCTGCCATCTGCAATTCTTCCTTTAGGTGATTTCCCTGTCAAATAAATAATATTCAGTCGTTCATAATAACAAATGCTCACACAGTATTCAATACAAGCATGTGAAAAAAAAAATGAGTGCAACAGTGCATGAAGACACAAACACTAGTAGGTCATTTGTCATGTCGTGCTTATGATACGAGTTAAAATGAATAATAGGTACATTATGTGTTTCTCTGTATGTGCTGTGGTTGCTAGAAGGACATTTATTTCTGTTGCGCTGTGCACACACCTTCCTCAAAATGTAAATGACCCAGATTCTGCACTTTCGACACTCTTTTTTCCCCACGGACCCCAAAGTAGTAAGTGAAAAGAAAAAAGGGAGAGATGTTGTTCTTGTTTTTACAAGAGTGTGTGTGTGTGTGTGTGTGTGTGTGTGTGTGTGTGTGTGTGTGTGTGTGTGTGTGTGTGTGTGTGTGTGTGTTATCAGAGCCTGTGGGCCTCTGTTTGTCTCCTCCAGAGCGACAGCCGTTATCACAGAGTGCCGTGCCTCGACAGCGTCGCCGTCGTCTCCTGCTCGCTTTCCTTGCGGCTGTGGCCCCAGAGGCGGGCCACGACAATCTACGGGGGCCCCTGCTGAGGGCCCCATTGTCTCTGTCAGCGCGCTTTCAGTTGAAAAACCCAGGGCGCTCTCCGACTTCATTGTCAGTGACTTAACAGCTTCTCTTCAAAAGGGGGCTAAACGCATGTTCATTAATTATCTGGATCCTTGTTAATTGGATTAATTGTTGAATGGGAAGCGTGTTATTAAAAATGACGAAAACACAAGGGCAGGGAAAGCAAAAGAGGGGGGGATTAATATCGCTTCTGTTTACTCTGGGGCTGTCATAAGACACAAACACACACACACACACACACACACACACACACACACACACACACACACACACACACACACACACACACACACACACACACACACAGTCAGGTATCTGCTCACCCTGTCTATTGAAGGGTCTCTCTCTCTCCCTCTAACTCTGCATCTCTATTTCGCACACATACACACACACACACACACACACACACACACACACACACACACAGCAGAAGCAGTATGTGACCCAACTCGGCAGAATCAGCGCTAGGCAAGGTGCAAATTACCATGCGCACCGCTGAGATAAGAACTAAACCCATTTTCAAAGCTCAGAATAAATGCCAGATTCTTTTTGATGCAAGAAGTCTGTGACTTTTTCCCATCGCTTATATTCAAAGATTAAGGGAGGAAATAAAAGAGAAGCATAAAGTCAACACCATGAACAATTTAGCTATCTCCCCGCCATATGAAATAAAGTGGGGTTTCTCATTCCCCCGGCCTATCTGCACACGCTTATCCACCAAAAATCACTTATCACTGTTTGACTTCAAGGGATGTTTTTTAGCGTTCAAGGCTTCAAGATAGGGCGCTGTTATTCCAGACCATCGGGATGGCAGGACTAATGTTACACGTCCTGAGTAATTGGTGGAGGTGAAAATGACACTTTATTGGTGTTGTAGAACTCGACTTCGGTCTGGGTTTCAGGACCACTTTTTGAAGGTCTCGGTCTTGTGTCGGTCTCAGACTGGGCGGCCCCCGGATTTATATCAAGACTGCTCAAGACCACCACTGATAGGTTGTATCCACGTCATTACCCTGATTAGAAGAAAAAGGCCTCTTTCTAAAAGAAGGAATAACTTCAATTGTAGTTTTTTTTTTTTTTTTAATCCCCTGGTTACGGCCTCAACCTTCCCGGTGTTACAGTCTGAGTGAGTGACACGCCCCCTGCACACAAGATGATGATTTTTCAGTGATATTTATCGTCCTAGGTCTTGATCCTTAAATGTCTCCGTCTCGGCTTCTGAGCACTCTGGTCTCAGGTATATCCTGGTCTTGAATACAACGCTACACTACATGCAAAAACGTATGAACTGTGTTTTCCTGTGGACACTGGGTGAAACGATGACAGTCAAATTGTTGGAAGTTGGATACTAAAGTGTTAACCTAACCGAGGAACAGTTACAAACAGTTAAAACCTAACTTCACATACTAATATGATTTTTGACGTCTGTGTAAAGTATTTCAAGACCATCCTGTTCATTTTGAAAGCTAATGTCTGAAACGTCTCTGAAGTTTCACAATAATTGCAGCAATAACAAAGTGTGACTATATGTAGCCTATACAGTGTCTGAAGAAGCAGAGAAGCAGGATCCAGTAAATGTGCTGCGCTGGTTGTTAAGGCAACTGTATCTGTCCGCCTGCTTTCATGTGGAGGCTCCTGTGGCCTGCTGCACCCCCAAATACGGCTATCAGGAGGACTGATTCCAAAAAAAAAAAAAATTGGGGGGAACTAGTATTGTGTGAGTTGGCAGATTTACAGTGTAATGATACATTTTGGCACTATATAGAACAAATGTTGGTCCTAAACGGTAAGTTTACTTGAGCTTGTATGGATCTTTTCTAATCTTCTGAGCACTCAAAGCACATTTACCCCGCAGGACACACCTACACATTCACACTCTGATGGCAGAGGACCATCAGAAGTAACTAATCCCATTTATACACATTCATAGGCCGCCAACAAAGCAGCAGGGGTTACTTGGGGTTAAGTGTCAAGCCCAAAGAACACATGCACGAACATGTGGGATCGAACCCCCACACTTCCAGTTCAACTCTACCAACTGAGCCACAGCCGCCCCCTAAATATGTCCTACAAAATAAACCCAAAGACATTTCCTGTTTAAGTTACTTTTGCGTGATAAATAGGGCTGTCAGCATTAATAATTGATTGCATAAATGTCTAAAAATTAATGTTTTTTTTTAAATCTTGATTAATCACATGCTATTTTGTCCCTTTAGGTGCACCGTAGCCTCCAGGGTGTCTCCCTGTAGTCACAGTGATGGAAAAAAATGACACTGCTGCGACTTTTTTCACCAAGACATGTGTGGGTGAGCAGTAAGCGGACAAATCCAAGTGAGGGCCAAGGTCAGAGCTCAGATTTAGCCGGGGCCCCCTCTCAGCCGACAGCTGTTAAAATCAAACCGGTTCCACTTGTAGTTTATTTTCACACTAGGCGGGATGCGAGAAACCGGAGGTAGCTGGTTTGTGTGTGTTCCATTGATCAGGGATGTTAATCTTCGGAGGATATGTTGAAAGGTCCTCCCAAGGACAGGACAATGAAAAGGCTCTATTGATCAGTGGAATGTTGATCAATCGGTCCCAAGACAGATAACAAGATGTACACGTCTTGAGTAACAAAAGGCATCGTGTAGGCTATGGACGGCACAGGTTACCTTTTTTTTTTCTTCATATTCCAGCACATCCTGATTCACATGCTGCTCTTGACCACTATATTACTTCTTTCAGGCACAAATCATGTGTATAAAGAACACTATAGAACATACATTTGGCCCACATATGACCAATAAAACCAGATTAGTAGAACCACCCATACACATCAATGCTGAGCTAAGAATTACACCATATCTTGTAAAAATCTAAAAAGAAAGAAAAGGCCTGCAGTGCTTTTAAGTAGGTCTTCAGATACAGGAATGTTGTTTTCACACAGGATCTACAACATATAGGGCTGTGCTGATCTTGTGCAACACGTGAAACTTCACGGCTGAAAGAGCTCAACATCACAGAGACTTTGTAGTTAAGGTAATTGTATGATTTGTTAAACCTTCTGCAGGATTTTTTTAAACCAGTTATTACACTCAAATTGGTTAAAATCGAAGAATAATACTTGAACTAAAAAAAATAAGAGCAAAGCCTAACTGGCTGAAACTGGCGAACAAAAGGGGGTACATATTTTTTTCTTTAACAAATTCTACATAAAAGTTTTAAGCTAAAAAAAAAAAGGCAATTCAAAAGAAAGAATTACGCCGAAATTGCTCCTTTATTGCAAAAGTGTAAACGTTGCTGTCTTCAAAATAATAAGAAAGAAAGTAAAACCTTCTTCAATTTGTCTTTTTCTTGTTTTGCTTTCTTTTACACTTTATTGAGTATGTGTTCTTGTTAGCTTTATTGTTTTTGCTTGGACTACATTGATAGTACGTCTCTGTGTTACATCTTTCTCTTTAGGAGGGCCACTCGACGAGCCCCTCTGGGTTTATTTGGCTCTTCCAGCACATTTCAAAATGTATATTTTGTTAATTAACTAATCATTATGTACTGTCTGTTTTTCCATTGATCTATTATGTTTATGTTTTTTTTTGTGCAATAAGTAAAAAAAATAAAAATAAAAAAACCTCATGTAACTTCTCTTCTCACTCCCAGTTTATTTGTATTTATTTATTATTATTTATTTCCCAGTTTATTATTATTATTATCTTCTCATTTCACTCCCAGTATTGACACGTATCCCTCCAGTAAAAGGTTGTAAAGCTAAAGAAGACTGCTCTTATTATTGAAAAAAAACCTTACGCGTGTTGGGGTTAAATTTTAAATGCCATAATGGAGCCATTTGTGAGGAAGAAAAGGAGTAATCTGAGCTATTCCACTCCTGTAGTATAATGTGCATTCCTGCGCACTGCACGCCATTGGGTGGAATGTCTGTCCGTCATTGAACAATCGAAGCCCCGCCCCGCCCCTTCTGCTTCGGTTGTGAGCGCTCATTGGACGTTCCATTAGTCCCCGGTAGCCCCGCTGGCCAATCGCCGCCGAGGAGGACGTAGGCTTTCCGGTGGAACTGTCTCTCGCATGCAGTCTGAGCGCACACGGCGGACGAGTCTCTGGAAGGGAAGATAACGGTTTCTTTTTTAGCCCCCTCTCCACTCTCCAAAACAAGAACTAAACCAAACCTGCATATTTTTTTTTTTTAGGGGGGGGTTTAACAGAGTCTTCTCATCTCAAGGGAGGAGGGGAAGCGAAGGGATTTGGAGCCGCAAGTTTTTTTTTTTCTTTTTTTCGTTTTTTTTTTCTTCTTCTCCTTTTTTTTCCCCCTAAAAAAAAAAACACACACACAAAAAAGAGGATTCTGTGTTTCCGCACGGTGGTTTTTTTTTTTTGTTTCTCCGCTTTCTCGCCGCAAAGATGATGGTCGGAGAGGTCGAAGTGAAGGAGCGACCGAGGCCGAGTCCCGACTATTTGATGCAATTATTAAACGAGAAGAAGCTCATGACCAGTTTGCCAAATCTCTGCGGCATCTTCACACACCTGGAACGGCTTCTCGATGAAGGTAAGCGGGGCGGGGAGAGTCTGGAGGGGGGGTGGGAAGCGTGACCAGTGCAGTCCGGTGTTGGTGCGACTTCACACGGCTGGGCGTCCCTTCTGCATTACGGTCTTTACAACAACACCACAGTAATACTTACAAGTCACCCCGCTACCCTCAAACCTCCAACATAAACCCCACTTTAACACGGTTTGAGAGTGGGGTTGCTAAGGCCAGGTTGCTAAGGAGTTCAGTGTCTGCACTCCTGACTTTGTGGCGACGAGGCAAAAAAAAAAAACTTTCTTTAACTCGTTTAGAAAAACAAAAAAAAACCCTCTGTCACCCAGCTGGGAAGTTTTTAAAGCACATTTTGAAAGCTGTACCTCACTGGAAATACCTTGTTGTGTTTTTGTTTTGTTTTGTTTTGTTAATTAGCCAGGGCCTGATTCCACATGTTCCCCGAGAAAATGTAGCTCGAAGTTAGCCACATTTTTTTTTAATGTTAGGCTAGCTGGGTGTCTGGCGTGCCGTTGAACTCTTTGAGGAACCACAAACGGCAGCTTTCATGCAGCTTTAAAGACTCAAAAAAAAAACAAGGCGATGAATCATTTCAAACAAGTGTTACACAAAAGTTGGACTTCTTATTTGTGCTTTTCAGAGGTTGGGGGGGTTTTTTAGTAGTTGCCCCAGCGGCCGAGCTTACAAGCACGGAGGAATGTGTCTGCTTGTTGCCCAAACAATGGCCAGTGATTTGCGGCTGAGAGAGGAAAAAGGAGGGGAGTGAAGATTACTGCAACCCGTCTAACTTTTCATTTAAACGAAGCTCTTGTTGTTTCCTTTCCTCTTTTTCTACTGCAGTATTTGTCCCCAAGCCGAGTCTGTGTGTCTCCCGGTTATATTTCCTTCCTTTACTGCAGCAGCAGTCGTCGTGTTTTTTTTTTTTTGTGCAACTCAAGCGTGCCCAAAAAAAAAAAATTACGTCGCCTTTTGTCCAGACTGGTTTTGTCTGTCTACCTCCACCCCCTCTTACTTTATCATTAACACGAGGAGCTGCGGTGGTAAACACTGGCTTTATTCGCCGTTTATGTTGATAGTATCACCAACATAATCTGGTCTAAGCAGGAAGGTAGGACCCGAGGTTTATGTAACTGAGCCGGGGACACTAGAGAGCGCCACAGCCGCCCTATAGCAGACTGTCCCCCCCCCTCCTCCCCTGTGCTGGAGAGACCATGACACTGAAGATTTAAAAAAAAAAAAACGCATTTTACTGACCCCCTTCACGGCATGAATGAGTGGCTTATTCATGGAGGTATGGAGCAGTGCATAGCTGGTTAGTTTCGGTTGCATGTCTGGATCAGGAGGTGTAGTAGGATGTAGTTGCTGAACCGGTCTGCAAGGATTTTCTTGTTCTCTGTGCTCGCTGGTAAACAAGACACTCAAGACGTAAAGTGGACTATTTCCTCTGGCTAGAAAAACGACAGCAGCACAAAAATAAAATTGCGTAACTCACCTAAATAAACACCTGAATGCTAATTTACCTGTAGGTGGTAAATGCACCTATTTCTGTGATTTACATCTAAATTATGAGACACTTGATGTAGTCTCAGGTTGAAGGCTGCAGAAATGCAAATCACCCTGATGTTAGACATGAATTTGTTTCTGTGATGATAATGTCCCCTCATGTATTTGCATTCACATCTCCCATTAAGTTGATCATCTTTAAATAATCTGCAGTGGATAACTCCTTTCTGAACATACTGGTTGTCTTGAGGTTTTGTTTATCTTTTTAATTTGAGTCAGAAAGCAGACCTGTTGTATTTTTTTACCATTCCCCCATAGATCCAAACACAGTCTGTGCACCTTTTCATTCACACTTTTCCTCACCAGCTGAGTCGTGCTGCGTGCGGTGGGTTCACTTCATGAGTGAAGCGACAGACGGCACATCTTTGAGCTTACCATGTACTCACAAGTTTATCTATTGCATCGATTTTTAAACATATTACTTTTACTTTGTGTAAACTCAGAAAGTTGAATTGTGTTTTCCACTTGTATTGTTTTTATTCACATGAACTGTGAACTCTGGGAAATCACAAAACTTATGTTTTGCTAAAAAGTGTGACAAGTTTCTGGATGAGCCCTTAAATCTCCTGGTAGTCAGAAGGATCAGAACAGTTCTAACACGGCTGAGACTTTGTGCTGTTTGTAGGCTACATTTTAACCCATTTTCAAAATAGCTTATAGTGACTTTTCTCTAAGTTTTAAATGACAGTCCCCTCTCACTTAAAACCTCCGACGCTGTGACTGAGCTACGGGTGTAAAGCGGTGTGAGAGGGGAGATGCTGCACTCTCTGAGATGCTGTGTGCAGGCATAAGTAATGACTGTTTAAATCATTTAAATATAAGACATATTGTAAAAAAAAACCTAAATATGTCCTGTGGGAATTTGCAGATGTTTCCCTTTTCTTCCTGTGGAATAATAAAACATATTGAGCTGACGTCATGAATAAAATGTTTTGGATTATTATTCTCTAAAAGCTTTTCCAGCACTCGTTTGACGTCCTGCTCTTTTTGGTGTTTGGACGAGCTGGTGAGATAATTTGAGAGGTTCAGACATGAATCAGACCGCTGATTTTATGCAGCTCTTGACAATAAAAAAAAAAAAGAAACTGTTCTTATGAAATCACGACGGGGTCACTGGTAACCCTCCAATGTCTGCCTCATGAGTCTGAGCTTTACAAGGGTTTCCACAGCACCAGCCCAAACTTTCAACCACTGCCAAATGTTGCGTTTGTGTGTGATGAAAGCCACCCGGGTGCAGAGGAGGCCTGTCTGACTGTCTGGTTCCTGTTAGGGGCGCTTTGCTTTCTCTCTCTGGACGGGGCTGAAGCTCTGATGTTATATTCCAGTTCCAGCCCCCTGCCGGTGTATAGGACCCAAACTTAAACGGCCAGTCCAGAATCTGCAGTTTGAATGACTCTTTGAAAAGCTTCCGTTTGGCCCACTGCTTTTTGAAGTTGATCTTTTTTTCCTCCATGTGCTGCACTAGGTGGCTGATCAGTGGAATAACTGCATTTTTAGAAAGTGTTTCTTTTAATAGTACTTGAAGGTAATTGTTTTTAGAACGATTGAAGTTTTAACGATGATGCTACAGCGTGTTTTTGTTACAATTCTCTCTGCCAGCAGTGAAGGTAAACATCACACTCGACCGTGACTTCCAGTCCAGACAGGAGAGACTCCAGAATGGGAAGCTTATGTTATTATGCTGGAATTACTTTTTAACCTCCAAATGGAGTGTTGTTGTTTTTTTCTCCTCCTCCTCCTCCTCCTCGTGTGTAACGGAGACTCGTCTTGTCAGTTCTGTCTCATGGAAAGCGATTGTCTTGTCAACGCGACAGGAGAAAGCAGGTGCTACATGAAAAGCTATTGATCAGCGATGCTCGAGCAGAGCTGGAAAACAAAAACCAGTCAGCGAAGCGCTTTTAAGAAAGTGTTTCAAAAAACGAGCGTTTTTAAAGGGACTGGCCCTCGTCTGTCAACACGGCATCAAACGCCATCTCGAGGATCCGGACGGTTTTCTGTTTTGTTGATGAATAACAATGACGTCACCTCGCTCCTTTGGACGTTACAGAGATCAACATCTTTTGTAAGGTGATAGTGTTCTGACAATTAAACCCTTTGAGCCCGTTTCTCCAGTCCACCCTCCTGACAGCTGCACACATCTCCCCTCACCCTCCCAACATCTTGTGCATGTGGACACAGCTGTTTCTAATGCTGGAGAAAGCAGACACCACCCTTGTGCGTGACGATCGCCCCCCCCCCCCCTCCGCCCTGGGCGTCCCTGTTACGTTCCCAATGTGAATGTACTCCCTCAAGGTCACTCTGGCCGATTGACAGGCCCTCCTTTGAAATCCCCTTGCGTTGCAGTTGTTCATCTCCCCGAGGTGACACCTGCTATGGAGGAGTTTTTTTCTTTGTCTTTACGATCTGCCAGCCAACAAGCGGCTTCAAATTGCTATATTTTCTCTTGGCAGGAGGAGACAGCCCATATAACATCTAGAGATATTAGCCTGGTAGCGGCGCGCGGACTCTGATGTAGGGTAGCGGCACAAGGGAGAAGGTCTGGACTGTCTTTGTTGTCACAGAGTTTTGTGAATATTTGTAAGGTTCACTCTGATTGATGTTACAATATTAATTCCAGGTCCCCTTAGCTTTCCAAACATGCTCATTATTTAGTTTTGTTTGTATGGTAGATTAAAGGGTCCGTTGTTTTCAGCGCTCCGCATGGTGCATCGTACCGTTTTGTTCCTGGCCCCCCCCCCCCCCCCCCTTTTGCATATAGAGCTCTGTGTCTGCTAGTTTATCTGTGTGTGTCGTGATTTAACAGGACCTTCCCTGGAGAGCTGTCAGCATTCAGAGGACAAACTGTCTGCTGTCCACCGTGGTGCCTGAGTAGGAAACAGGTCTTCTGGGAGCAGCTGTTTACAAAACAGATTTTGACAAATGGGATGCGTTTGGGTTTCTAACCAAAGTCCCATATTTCTGTCAATCTTTCCGTCTCTCTTATTTTGTTGTTTGTCCGTCTGTTACCGTGTTGTACTGCCCCTCCCCTGCACGTTGACCCTTGGGGTTTTTTTTTCCCCAGCACAGGGCGAGACCTTCACTAACCTCTGACATGCAATCAATTTAGCAGCTAATAAGATTGAGTGCTGTTTTTGCAAAGTGAGATACCGCCTTGAGCCCCCCCGAGGAAAGCACTGATAGAGGCAAGACGTGAAGAGAGAATTGAGGGGTGTTAAACCGGGGCTGTTGTTGCACAGCAGAAACCTGTTATATCCTCCCTCCACAACCCCTCTCTCTTCTCCCCACATTCTCTCCCAAAGCACCACTTATAAGCTGGAATTTAATTAACCGAGAGCCATTCTGTGAGCTGGTTTACTGAGCCGTTGCCACCAGTGTGAGAAAGCAGAATAGAAGGCTTTGTGTCGTCTCTCTCTCCGTCTGCCTCTCTCTCTCTCTCACTCTCTCTC